ACCAAAAGATCAAATATTCTCAGGAAGACATTACTTGGTGAAACTTGGTTAAAGTGCCATAAAAATGTGAGTGATTGTGTGATCTGACATAACAATAATAGCATTGATATTGATTGCACTTTAAGGATTGCAAAGCACTTTACAAATAGGATTTCATTGGATCGTCACTATACCCATTTTATAAATGAGGAAACTGAGGCAGAAAGAAGTTAAATGACTTACCCAAGGTCACACAGGAAGTGAAGTGTCTGAAGCCGGATTGGAGCTCAGACCTTCCTGATTCCAGGTCTAGTGATCTATCCACTGGGCACCTTTATGTGGATGTACTCTTTGGCTGAGCTGGTCTTCTTAAGAATGTCTGACTCTAATGGCTATGGCTGGAATTTTTATGGGGCTCAGGGATATGTAGAGATGGAGTATAATTGCTGCATGGGGTAAAATTAGCCAATCTCTTTTGTGCCCAAGAAACAGAACTCAGGGGACCATTCACGTCCTTTCCTAGGAGGGTAAGGCTATGGAACAGCTGAGCACACTGCATTCAGAGAAGATCCTTACTTCCTTTGAAGATTTTTTGTTAAAGTTCATTTTTAATTTATGGAATAAAACAAGAATTTTCCCAACAAATTGAAATTTAAAAAAATATGATTGCATATGAAACTGCAAATCTATTATGTACAACTTGCTATGCCACTGAAATATATAATAAAGTTATATTGTAATGTTTATCCTTTTTTTCTTCTCTTTCCCCCACCCTACAGATGGCCGCCATTAGACAAAATAGGTATACATTTATGTGTATGTGAGTGTGTGTGTGTGTGTGTTTGTGTGTGTGTAAAATTACTCTCTAACTACTTCTATCTATCGGTTCTTTCTCTAGGAATTTTAGAGTACTATTTTTGGTTCTGGCCTGAATTGGAAACCATCATACCCTGAATCAGGGAGCTGGAGCAAAACAACTCCCAAAGCTGACTTTCTGAACAATAACCAGGATGTTTTCTGGTGAGAGAGAGTCCTATCACTATCATGCCAAATGAGTAGGAGGTGTCTCTCATGCAGTGGCCTTGGGCCTAGCTCCTCAGGTAGGCCCTCTTCCCTTCCACCAGTATTTGACAAAGTTATAATTGGACACCTGCTGAAGAGGATGCCAATTGCCACCTCTCCTGGCCATGACCTGAGAAAATAGCACCTTAGGGTCAACAAAGTAGGAGCAAAAACAAGGACACATAGGGGCACAACAGGGGTCTTTCTGGGACAATTCCAGAAGATAAACAGAAAAGTCCCAAGACAGGGTTTGGTATGAAGAGTAAACACCTCCAGGCTAGGGGTAACTTGAACAATAAAAGGCAAGCAGCTTAAACAAGAATCAGGAAGCCTTGGGGTTTTTTGGCTTGGGAGGATGCCTAGCCCCAGCCAAAGGAACATAGACCCTGGGGAAGTGAGGAAAGCTGGGCATCTGAGCCCTGGAAGATCAAAGAAACCTCTGCTAAAAAGAAACTGCAGACCCAACTGTGCTTCACTGAGCTGCAGGGGCCAGAAGGAGCCAGCACAGACCAGGTAAGTGCACAAGCTGTGGGGCAGAAGGCCCCTGGCTGTGGACACTGACAGGAGTCTGGAGGTTGGGCTTTGGTTCCAGGCTAGAGGGGAGAAATGAAATCTAGGGCAAGAGGCAGCAACACCCACAACCTAGGGCTAGACCTGATGACAAAAAGCTATTACTACAAAAATTACAAAGGCAAAATAGAAAGAATTCAACCACAAAGAGCTATTTTGGGGCTAGACAAGACTGCTGTTCATCTTCAGAGGAAGATATTGAACCAAGGAAACCCCTTTCTACCCCAAAGAATAATGTCAAATGGTCACCTGCCCAAATACAGTTCAAAGAAGAATGTAAAAAAGACTTTAGAAATCAAAGGAAAGAGATGGAGGTAACACTAAACAAAACAAAAGAAGAAGAATCCAAGAAAAAGAAGAAGACAGTGAAAGGAAAGTCAACCAATTAGAAAAGGAGATCCAGAATCTCAAGGAAGAAAATGACACCTTGAAAATCAGAATTTTGGGGGCAAGGGGAATCCATTGAAATTATAAAAGATCAAGAAGTAATTAAACCAAATATGGATAAGGAAAAAAAAATAGAAGAGAAAGTGAACTATCTTATAAGAGAATCCACAGACCTACAGAAAAGATCAAAGAGAAAAAAATATAAAAATAATCAGATTACCTGAGAGCTATGATAAAAAATAATCTTGATACAATAATACAAGAAATTTTTAAAGAAAAATGTCCTAAAGCATGAGAACAAGGAGGGGGGAGTAGCAATAGAAAAAAAATCCACTGATCACTACTTCAAAGAAATCCTTTGAGAAAAACTCATAGGAATATTATAGACAAATTTTGGAACACCCAGCTCAAGGAAAAAATATGACAAGCAAGAAGAGAAAAACAATTTTAAAAGGATGGTTCCACAATCACACAGGACCTAGCAGCTGAGAACATAAAGGACTGCAAGTTTATGATATTTTTGCTTCCTTTCTCTATTCTGTATTTGAGTCTTGGTGTCTGAGTCTACAATAAAATTCAATCAAATGAAAAAGAAAAGAATACCGAGGTGGGAAGACAGAAGAGTCAAAAACCTGTAAGCAATCCATCCATTTCCTGAAATGGAAAGATGGAAAGTTGTTATTTGTAATGCAAGAGACCTTTCTCATGAGAGAGCATAGGGTGAATTCAATATGAAGGGATGACATTCAAATATAAAATGAAGGGATGAGAGAGGAATGTACTGGGAGAAGGAGAAAGGGAGAGGCAGAATGGGATAAATTATCTCCTCTCAAAGAGGCAAGAAAATGCTTTGACATTGGAGGGGAAGAGGAGGGAGATGAGAAGGAATTAGTGAACCATTGGTATTGGCATAAGGAGGAAATAAGGACACACTCAGGTGGGTATGGAAATCTATCTTCCCCTACAAGAAAGTAGGGGGTAAGGGGATAAAGGGGAGGGTGATAGAAGGGTGGGCAGATCGGGGGAGGGGTTAGTCAAAAGCAAACAATTTTGAGGAGGGACTGGGTGAAAGGAGAAAATCGAATAAATGAGGGGGAGGTAGACTAGGATGGAGGGAAATATAGTCCTTCACATCATGACTATTATGGAAGTGTTTTACATGAATACAGAAGTATAAACTATATTGAATTGCTTCCCTTCTCAATGAGGGTGGGGGGAAAGTGAAGGAAGGGAGAAAACTTGAAACTCAAAGTTTTAAAAATCAATGTGAAAAGTTGTTTTTACATGTAACTGGGAAATTAGATACACAGGCAATGGGGCATAGAAATCTATCTTACCCTATAGGAAAATAGAAGGGGAAGGGGATAAGAGAAGGGGGGGGGTGAGAAAAGGGAGGGCAGACTGGGAGAAGGGGGAATCTGAAGCAAAACCTTTTTGAGGAGGGACAGGGTACTCAGGGCACTGCCCCCCAAGGCCTCACGCAGCAGAAAGACAGCTGCCCTTTAAACACAGGGTTTCCACCACAATCCTGACTCTTTTTCCCCACTACTCAAGCAGGTGATTTCAAGAGCAACCTCCCTGTGTGAGGTAGAGAAGAAGCAAGGACAGATCCAAGAGAAGAGTTATTTGTGTATAGGCCTAAATTAGAGTATGTCTATAGCTAAATCAAACTAGAGAATTAAATAGTAGTTTTTGTGATGAGGAAAAGCTAAGCCATCTGTAGGTTCCTATGTGGGGTTACTCAGATAGTAGCTTCCTGGGGAGTTGACAAAAGCAGAGGGGGCAGATTGGGCTGAGGGGCAGCTGGGGTCAGCCCGGAACTTGCTGCTGCTGGCCCTTAAAACCTGCAGAAGAGTGGGTCGCCCCTGCTGCCTTCTGGAGGCAGTGACCAGCCCTGTGGTATGAACTGCTGCCTTCCCCCCTGATGGTAAGAGGCAGAAAGGACAGCGATACCTCTGTGGCCATCAGTATTTCATGGCCAGCCCCCCACATCCAAGCTGAAGCTGCAGTGACTATCACCCTGGGGACCTGGGGAGGCACCCAAGAATGTAGCCCTTAGCTTTTCTATCTGATGTAAAAGAACCATGAAATAGATCTCTAGATAAATACAAACATCTCTATCTACATAATACAATGGGCCAGGAGGCCCAAAAAATGTGCCCTCCCTCTCCCATCCCAGCCTTAACTCCAATAAGCCACTCCCCCCACCCTATCCCAATCAACTTAACACCTGCCCATGTGATAACATGTCCCAAAAGGAACTAGAATCCAAGTGCAGAGCAAGAGCCTGATGAGTCTCCAATGGCCTGTTTCCCCGCAGAGGCACCTGGGCCATGTCACGTCTGCCCCAGGGATACAGGGCAGCATCAGCTCAACACCAGCCCTAGACAGGGCAAGGCAAGGGCCAATCTCAACAGGATCCCGGCCAGTCTCCTGCTCAGCATAGTCACAAGCACATTAGCTGATGGTCCCAAAGGAGACACAGCACAGTGACTGAAGTCCAGGTCAGGAGGTGGATGAAGCCATAGCTAGACTGGAGAAGTAGGGTCTCTGGATACTTGAGGGCAGGCAGGAGAAACTTGGTACCAGCAGCATAAGGGAAGGCCCTCTCCCCATGGCTCCTGGCTGCACTCTGAGCCCACCTCCCTTTCAGCATTCTCTAATCCATCAGTAATTCTCTGTCTAATAATACTTCCTTTCCCACACACCTGAAACCTTCCAGTCCTCTCTAAATGAAGCCCCAGGAGGTACAAGGGGCCACCAAGCCATGGCTACACCCCCAGCTGCCATACTGTTTCTAAATGCCACTTCACACGATCCTGGATGCAGAACTTCCCTCAAATCCAGGCTGTTGGCCTTGTCAGAATCAAAAGCCAAGACAAGTGTGGTCATTCCCAGTTACTTCCCATTTCAAAGATGGCACCCATCATGGCCGGTGGTGAAGGGAATCATGCAAGTTCCCCTGGAGAGTGGCATTAGCCACCTACTGGAGCATGCCCATGTCAGACTGGCTACCAGTCTGCCCTTTGCAGCTGCCCAATTTGTCATTGCCCTAGAGCCAAGGTGGTGTAAGCTGTGTTTCTGTGGGACTGCTGCTGAGCATAGCAAGGTCTTCATTAGTCCCTACCACACCCCCAACACATAATAGAAAACTATTTCTACACCTCTTGGAGGTGGGCAGGGCCTGGCAGGAAGCTGGGCAACCTGACCCTGCAGATGATGGGGATTGAAAGAGAAATCGCTCAGCTGGTGGTCTAGTCCATATCAGAGAGGTCTGGGTGGGACAAGATGGCTCCACAGAGGTGGGCTCCCACCTTTTGTCTCTCTCCCAGATGTCTCAGCGGCCAGAAGGGAATGAGCCTGGGGGAGGGAGGAGGAGGTGGGAGAGCTGCTTGCTGGTGGTAGAAGGAGGAAAGGGTGAAGGGATCCCGGAGGGAGGTGCTAATTGGCAGGCTTGCCATGGACCCGGAAACGGTAAATGCAGGTATAGTCCGGGTGACCCCAGTTATTCAATACTCGAAGCTCTACCAGTTGGTATGGAGCTGTGCTGTTGCCCTGCGGGAAGAGGAGAGTGGGGTCAGGAAGCCCCAAGATCCCTTGGTGGACTCCCACAGCCCTTCTGCCCCAGGCTTCCATCAAAGACCAGTGGCTGAATTCAGCCCCAAGCTTATCCCTCAGCTTCCTATCAGACCCATTGGGACCTGGCTTCCACTGCAGCCACTTGCCAAGCCACAGCGTCCCAGTGGCTGGTAATCCAGCCCTGGAGATCACCAACATGCCTGGATCCCTGCTGTGGGATCAACCCTCCATACCTGAAAGGGGAAGGTCTGAATGGCCTCCCCAGCATTCTCATAGGTGAACTGCCCCAGGGCAACCCCCTCCACCTGGGAATCTTCATTGAGACCCTGCACAGAAGGAAAAACAAGGGGAATAGAGGGATGGACAAATGGATGGCTGGGAGTGGAGTGCACGAAAGGTCATGCTGTTAGGACAAGAATCCAAATCAGTCCATGGAGGGAAAATGGGGGAGGTGGCAGGGGGAGGAGGAGGCAGATAAGGCAGGATATATTGGGGAGGGGAAAGAGGAGCAAACACAATCCAACTTCATGTTGCCTGCCTTGATCCCCTCACCCTCTAGCATCTCTCTCACTAATTCAATAGACAGAGCCTTTCCCCTCCTAGGCCTCAGCCTTCTCAGCCTCTTCCCCAAAGCTGCTGAATGACTTGGGACAAACCCCTTCAAGTATGGGTGCCACACTTTCTTCATCTGAATCAGGATTTGGGTCCTGAAGCATCCCTCTCCCCCTGCACATTTCACCTTCTCTTCTGGCTCCATCTTTTCTCCCAAATCCTCCTTACAATGGACATTCCATCTCTGCCTTGACCAGGTGACTGTGTAGGGAATGGCAATCCCCATCCCTGCCCAACTCGTCCATGGGACACCTGGCCACTCAGGCAACTGGCTATAGTAAAGGACCCTAAGGCACATTGTAATCTTGGCTGTTCTTGCTTCTGTGGTTGTCTTTTCCTGGCTTTTCTCTAAGTAGAGGAGGAGGAACAGAAGGGCTGGGCCTGGAGTGAGGAGATCAGCCTCAATGTCCCATGTGTCAAATGGGCACAGCCTTGCATTGCTCACCTGGCAATGCTGCTGTTAAGAAACGACTTTGCGCCACTCTGGAAAGGAGAGCTGCCAGGCTCAGGTACTCACCAAGATGACAAAGTCCTTTGGGGCACTGGGGATGTCACTGTTTGGGGACAGGGCTTTGGGCACGTGCTCCAAAGTGACGGCAGTGAGCTGGATGCCGCCAGACAAGTGCACCACGACAAAGCCCCGGGGGTCCCGGAATGCCCAGCAGTTGCCAGGGTAGACGTCTGGCTGTGGGCACAAGACAAATCAGGTGAAAGGAGGCAACAGATGGAACAGATCCCGATCGTGGGGCCCCTCTGCCTTGAGGTCCCAGCTCCCATAGAGGAGGGTGGCAGATGGCACATAGAGAGCAAAGCTGGGGGACCTTTGTTCAGCCCTACCTGGAGGATGACTCTTGGCGACTGGAAATAGCGCCACAATGGGATGCCCAACAGAGTGAAATGGGCAGACCACTCCGTCCTGATGCCGTATGTCTCTGAGGAGCGGCTACTGACAATGCTGGCTCCTGAAAGAGCAACATGGAGAGAAGTGTGTGGGGAGGGGGGGGTCCTGAGAGTTGGGAGGACACAGAGATGGCTTAAGGCAGCCCTCAAGGTGAGGGGGTGCTGCCTGGGAATCACCCTTCTTAACTGCCACGGCCCATAGGGGGCATCTTGATTTGTCAATTCCTCCTGTCTCCTAAGGTCCATCCTGATTTGCCAATCCCTTTGGTCCCAAGCCCTCTGGCTTTCTGCAGGCCACCTACCTGAGGACTCCAGGGCATAATCCACAAGCCCGATGCGATCTTCACTGTGTTCTTTCAGGGCCTCCTTAATGATCTGATTCACTTCCTAAAAGACAGGCATGCACTACTTAGGGGCCAGGTCACCTGCAGGGCTGGCCCAGCCCATGTGGGAGGCGAGCAAGCATGCTACCTGCTCAGCCAGGGTTTTCCCCTCCCTCCTGGCAGGCTCTTCTGAGGGCAAACCAGTGACCCCAGCCAGGAGGACAGCCAGTGGGGCAGGCCTCACCTCCTTTGTCACACCGGTGGTCATTCCTTCCTTCAGAAGGCTCAGTCTTAAGATGGCAGCAGCTTTGCTCACAGACTTGGGCCACTCTTGGGCCACATGACTCACAATTCTGTGCTCCAGGTCATGAAGCTGGGCCTGCACCTCCTCTTGCTTAATACCAAGGACCTGCTGAATCCAACCAGGGACCTTAGACTCCACCTAGAAGCCACCAGAGGAAAGAGCTCAGCAAACACCAGAGCAACAGAAGAAATGAGGAAGCAAGAGGGCCTGGACAGGGGGCCTGTGGTGTCTAGAGTCACTCTGAGTTCTGGGGTCAGCATGTGCCACCTTGGTGCCAGGGAAGGCATGGTGAATCAAGTAACTGGCATTTCTCCACTGCTTTGAGGTTTGCAAAAATCATCTCATTGGACCTGCTAGGGGCTGTCATTATCCCAATTGACAGATGAGGAACATCCTGTCCATATCATAAAGTCCACCCAATGGGCCTACATCTTTGGGAATCACCCAGGGGACGCGTGGCCTAACTGGTAGACCAGATGATTCACCTCATTGCGCAGGGCCACCATCTTCTCTGGCCAAAGGTGTAATTCTTTTTGCACCTCAGCTTGCCTCTGGCTCAAGGCCACCAGCTCCTGCCTCAAGCCAACCAGCTGGGCCTCTAGGGAATCCATCTCCTTTGGCCTTTTCTCCTCTTGGGAAGAACTAGACAGGGACAAAAGGAAAGGTCAAAGTCAACCTGGAGAATAGGCACTGGAGGACGGAGTCAAACAGAGGCCAGGAAATGGAACTGTGTCTCCTGCAGAAAACCACGACTCAATGGAAAGGACAGAGCCAGAGGCCTGGGTGCAAGTCTTTGCTGACATCTACTCCCTGGGAGAGCCTGGGCAGATCATTTCCCTCCCAGGCCTCAGTACCTTCATCTGTTCTCTGAGGTCGGCTTCAGTTTGGATCGATCCTATAAACCTGCTAACTGAAGTGTTCGGGCTCCAGTGACCCCTCTCTCCCTGGGAATCTCACTTGTGCTCTCTCAGCTCTAGCTTTCTACCCCTCTTTCCCTCCTTTTCTCTTTGCCAGGCAGTTTGGGGCCTTACCCGTGCCACTCAGATGTCTTCTGCACCACCTCACTTTCCAGCTCCTGGAAGGACAAAGAGTTTAGGAGGAAAACACCAACCTTTACCCAGAGAACCCTAGAGTGTCAACTAAAATAAATCAGTTAAAACAATTCCTTAAACCAAATTGCAGGATAAAAAAGTAATCCATGAAAACCATCAGCATTTCTATACATCCACCAAGAAAATCCAGCAGGAGAGAGAGAGAGAGAGAGAGAGAGTGAGAGAGAGAGAGAGAGAGAGAGAGAGAGAAATTCTTTTGAAAAAACTGTGGTCAGTATACACACAGGAACTCCAGGAACACAATTACAAAACATCCTTCACACACAGAGACAGATCTCAACAACTGGACACATATTCATTGCTCAGGCATAAGTCAAGGCAATAGAATCACAGTGACAAAAGTACCGAAATTAACTTACTTATTCTATGTCATCCCAATCCAACCACCAAGAAAGTTCTTTGGTAGCAAACAAAGTCAATACCCATCTGCAGGGGAATGAATGGCTAAACCAACTGTGGCTTATGGATACAATGAAATATTCTGATGCTAGAAGAAACCACAACTCTTGTTTTAGAAAGATACACATGACAAGACTTACATGAACTGGGGCAAAGTGAAAGAAATCAATGAAGAGTACAAGATAAACAAGCACCGCAGACAACCATGTAAATGGAGTGAATAACCAACATCTGAAACCAAATGTTGTGAAAAGATCATGCTGGAGCGTGGCCTCAAAGATCATCAAGGAGGACATTTTTCCCTTCCCTTCAATGCTGTGCTAGGAGTCGACTGGCATGGAATCTGCACAGAAGGCAGGACTCTGCTGCTGTCTTGGTTGGTTTTCCTGAACTATTGTCTTCCCCTCTTGTTTTATACTTTGGTTTAAGGGATGACTCTGTGGGAGGGGGAGATGGAAAGGCTATATTGAGAAAGGTGGTGATATGAAAGCAAAATGAGAAACTACCCTTTCCAGTCAGTCATAAATATACATATATATATATGTATAGATATACAGATATACAGATATATATAGATATACATATACATATGTGTGTGTGTATGTATTTATGTATGTCTAAAGTTTTCCATGAATTGGGGTTTTTTTCTGTTATTGTTTGATCTTTTTATCTGCCTGCAAGGTCATCATGGCTCCACATATCAAATCACCTGGTGGATAAGCTTCTGGTGGGCAGCCAACATGATATGCACATGGCCTTCACGTCTTCCCAGCTTGGTAAAGTCTGCTAGTCTGGGCTGTGCTGGCCAGTTTGTGGAGACTCCTCGGGTTCCCAGAGTCACCCCACTGAGTGACAAGGTGCTAGGGAAGGCCTTTTGTGTAAGGCAACTGATTTCAATTGAAGGCGGGGCAGTGATGAGCTCTGAGTGTTAGAGAGACTGACATTGAATTGCCCAAGGTCTGAAAGGCAGCAAGTGGCAAAGCTTGAACTTTGATCCTGGCTCCCACACTGGGTTGAGAGGAATGAAGTGGATTGTGAGCGGGTTGTCTGCCCATCTTGTGTGAAGCGTTCTAGACACTCAGTTGGACACTCACCTGGAAATACGAGGGGGACTGTGCTGGTTCCCACCTGTCCTCTCTCCTGCTGCTACCACGGGCTGTCCACCAGGAGAGCATAGCAGGGTGGAAGGTCTGTAGTCCATAGGGGTAGAAACACCAAGCACCTAACACACGGGAGAAAAGGCTCATTGAGACAGAGGCTGAGGTGTCAGAAGGGCAAGAAGTCTAGGGTGAGGACCTCCATCCAGCCTGAGTATGGCAGTGTCGCGTCGATGTGAGCTAGGAGCCCAGCCTAAGGAAAGCAGATGTGCTAGGGTCCCCATGATGTGGAAGGCTATGGCTAGAGCCACTTCCATCCCAAGAGCCTTCAGGAAAGGGATCCCTCTCTCATGATCCTCTAAGAAGGATCCTACTTTTGGATGATGGCAACAATGAGGGATGAGATTCAGCTGGGACAGGACATGGAGACTGAAGCCACAAATGCTGCCTTCTTGTCCCAAGTCTGGTCAACAAAAGTCCCTGTCCCTTTTGAATGAGGACCAGAATGTTCTCTGTAGAGAGGCTGACTACAGACAGCCGCTGGTGACCATCTGCATGTGGTATCATCATTCCTGAGCTGGACTTGATCTCACAGTATGGACTGAGTAATGTCATGGCTCTTGACCAAGGGTCCAGCCCTTCTGGGATCATGCCTGTCTCTATTGGCCTGTCTGTTCTCACCAATGAGAAGGGGCAAAGCCCCCAGACCTTTCATTGACTGTGTGTCTTGCTCAGATAACAGATTCCTTCCTGATTCAGTGCCTCTCCCAATCCCCCACCCTCAAGTGCCGGGTCAGTGACCACGGAGGGCACAAATAAATTAACTCCATGCCCCTGACATGCTCAAGGTGGGTGGGACAGCCATCCTGACCTTGCAGCATGAGGCTCTGAGGCCAGCATATACAAGACACACAATAAAGGTTTGTTGGATTGGATGGAGAGGAGAAGGAGAGACAGGACGGAACTCTGACATTTGAGGCAGGAGAGCTTGCCCACATGTGGCCTGGGTCCCTTTTGCCAGGGCTTTTGTCCCTTTGGCTCCCTAAACGTTCCCCTTCAACGATCTCTCTTCCACATTTTGACAGCCCTGTCCCCAAACCCTTGTCCTTCGCCCCCATCTGGAGTGGCCGACCTGGGCACTCCACAAGGCTCACCATAAGCCAGCGAAGCCACAAAGAACAGCATTCCCAAGACGAAGAGGAGCAACTTCTTCCAAGTGCAAAAGCTCCTGGATTTCATTGGGATGAAGGAGATGTTAGCACTTTCCCTTCACCACCCCTGGTTCCTGGCAGACCCTCCCTAAGTGGCAAATGAAACAACCAAAAGGGTGTGCCCACTCTTCCCCCTCCCACCTCCACCCCCTGCCACTGGGTACCCAAGAAGTGGAGAACTGGGCTTGTATGGACAACCCTTGGCGTAAAGTGGAAGGAGAAAACTTGGCTTTTCTGAAAGGCGCTTGTGTTGTTATGCAAGGGGACATGCTGCCCTTTGACAGGTCTAGTGGAAGGTTTCTCCGTATCAGGCCTCCATCAAAACTTTGTTAATGTGCTGCTCATGAATTAGTTAGTCTTCTTTTGTCTAAGTCCTTACAATGCTTGTCCATTTGGACTTGGAAGAGCTGCAGGAGGGACCCCTGCTGAGGCAGGCTGGTCACCATTGCCCAGCCTATGCTCCCAAGAATCCAGGGCAGGCCTGGGCCACCTACCAGCCTTGAGGACACATGTGGTCCACTAGGTCCTCCACTGTAACCAGAGTTCACCAAATCAATCCCCTTCAGCAAAGGATTGATTCTGTCAAACTTGGACTCAGTTCAAAAGTCGCACCCAAGCACCTAGAAGGCCACATGTGGCCTGGGGACCTCAGGTTCCCCACTCCTGCTCTAGAGGCTCCTGGATTCAGCCCTGGAGGCAGCTTGGAGAACTGCCCATGCTCCTCCACAGAGAAACTGCAAGCATGGCCTGGAGACCTGGAAGACTGGGCAGAAAATTCTGGATTGGAACCCCAAAGGAGGGAGTGTCCCTGCAAACTCAGGACCCTCAGACTAGCAGAAGTGAACTCACCAGACTCAGTTGTGATCAGAGGCAGGAACTACTGAGGGGAGAGCTCCTAAAAGATACTCAGGAAGAGAGTCCCACTTGTAGTCAGAGCCAACCCACTTCCCTGAAGAAGCAAGAGGAATGGGGGCAGGCGAGGGCTGCTAAATGTTCAACAACCAGCTCTGGAGGAGGGCAAGGCACCCACAACCCATTCCTCCCATCATCTTCTTCAGTGGAGACACTCAATAAAACCCTAATTGGGAGCTGACTCTCAGGAGCAGGTTGCAGCTGGTCCCAGCACACTCCTGGCCCTGACCTGAGTCTATCATAAGATTCATTGCCTAAAAGTCTCCAACAGCTGAAAAGGAACAGGGCAAAGCCTAAGGGGAAATTGACCTGGAGGACTGCCTCATTTTCCCCATCTGCCAAAGAACAGGTTTGGCTTACATGATCTCTGAGTTTCCTTCAAGCTCTAGATCTTTGATCCAGTGATCAAGGTTGGACTTAAACTGTTTCCCCCAAATGTTTGTCCATTCTTGTCTACCTATCTTTGTTCATACCTTTCCCTCTTTGCCAGAATTATTTTCTTTTCCTAGATGCATCTGTTAACTTTAGACAGCCCCTCAGTTTTCCAAGGTATTCTCCTGCTAGTCTTCCCTAAAGAAGCCATTTTTCAATCCCTCGGAATAAGGAATGCCCCAGAGATTTTATTTTTCACCAATTAGAGAGATGATTAATTGGTTTATGATTACACACTGGTTAGTAACAGAACCAACTATTCATAGTCATATGAAAAAATGCTCTAAATCACTATTGATTAGAGAAATGCAAATTAAACCTACTCTGAGGTACCGGCTCATACCCATGAGGTTGACTAATATGACAGAAAAAAGAAATGATAAATTATGGAGGGGATGTAGGAAAATTAGGACATGAATGCACTAACAGTGGAACTGTGAACTGATCCAACCATTCTGTAGAGCAATTTGGAACTATGGCCAAGGGTCTATCAAACTGTAATCCCTTTGATCCTGTAATATCACTGCTAGGTCTGTATTCTAAAGAAATGAAAAAGGGGAGGGCAGGAAAGAACCAATTTCAACAACAACATTTATAGCAGCTCTTTTTGTGCTGGCAAAGAATTGGAAATTAAAGAGAAGTTCAACAATTGGGGAATGGCTGAACAAGTTGTGGTATATGATTGTAAAGGAATATTACTGTCCTATGAGAAATGATGAATAGGCAGATTTCAGAAAAACCTGGACTTACATGAACTGATGCAAAATGAAGTGAGCAGACCCAGGAAAGCATTGTACACAGTAACAACGATACTGCATGATAATGAATTGTGAATGGCTTATTCTCAGCAATCCAATGACTCAAGACAATTTCAAAGGACTCATGATGAAAAATGCAATCTACCTCCAGAGAAAGAAGTAATGGAGTCTCAGTGAAGATGGAAGCATACTATTTTTCACTTTCCATATGTTCCCCCTCTCCCCCTCCTTTTTGGTCTATGTCTCCTTTCACAACATGACTAAGACGATATGTTTTCCATGAACATGTATAACCCATATCAAATTGCTTACTGTAACAGGGAAGGAGAAGGTAAGAGAAGGAAAAAAAAATTTTGAACTCAATTTAAAAATAAAATGTGTGTTTAAAATTGTCTTTGCATATAACTGGGGAAAAAGAAAATATTACTTTAAAAAAATAAAATGGTTATATAGCATGACGGCAACTCCTGCTTTTTTTTTTTGATTCACTTGATGCAGAGTACATTTTTTTCCATCCCCTGTTTTATTTTGTGTATGTCTTTGTTTTTTAAAGTTTATTTCTTGCTGTTTCTTGTAAGCAACAGATTGTAGGGTTTTGTTTTCTTATCTAATCTGTCATTTTTTTTTTATTGGATTGTTTAATCCATCTGCTTTTAAAGTTAAAAGAGCTAAATTTACATTTTCTTCCATCTACCTCTAAAATTGGGATTTTTTCAAGTTATGATTTTTCCCCTCTTCTGCTATAAACATAGTATTATATTCTTTTAGATACTTTAATCTTTTTTTTAAGCTGTCCCTGTTTCCACTGGCTCTCTCTCCCTCACCCTAGTGCCCTCTTATCACTTGTTACCCCTTTTCCTTTAGAGTGTTATTAGCTTCTCTCTCTTGCTTTTATCTGTTTATATATGTCTCCCTTCTTATTTCTCTCACTTGGGTAGATTGCCCCCTTTTCTCCTTCCCTTCAGCTAGTCCTGTACATTAGGTTTTTTAAAATTCTTTTTTTCTGCAGCTTTTCAAAAAAGGATTTTCTTTCAGTTTCTTCACCATCCATCTCTTCTTTCTGTCTACCCTAGACCTTTGTTCTCTGATTCATCACCCTTATAATCACCTCTCTAGGTCTTTTTTCTTCATATAATCAAAGCTTCCAAGGCCATTCTAGTCTCTGACCTCTGGGCCCTTTCTGCTCCTGCCTTGTAGGGCTCATCCCATGGGTTCTCCTTTTCCATTGTGCCTCACTCTCACAACAATGCCAATTATGGCAGCTATCAGAGAGGATACTGCCCTGTTGTAGGGCACATCTCCCACCACTGATCCATACCTTCTCTTGTTGGACACTTCTTTCTATATTTGCCTGGAGATCTCTCTGGGTCCATGCTCTTGCACTCTTTCAGATGCCAGTTGCCCCCAAAGGTTCCAACTCCCCCCTTAACAAGACAAGTAGATATTTCAGGCACCAAATCCCCTGGCTTCATCCAGGGTAAGGGTTTCATCTCCCTTCTCCCATAGGTGCATTCATCAGTGGATTCCCCTTCTCTCACCAAAGTAAAGCCTTTATCTTTTCCTTTTGTTTTCAGTCTCCCCCAGCTCCTCCTTAACCACTTTCTGCAGGCTTTTCTCTTTGGGAAACTACAGAGGTCACCTCCCCCTCTTAGCTAACCCTGCATTTGATGCTGGTGAATTATTCTCTTGTTTCTATCCCTTTGCTCCCCTCTCCCCATCATCAAGGGCAGCCTGGTGCTGTCTTAATAGCTCTTTACCTATCTTGGGTCTCAGTGTGCAATTAGCCATGCTAAGAGTTTCGTTTCTGGTGCCTACTCCTTCGTTTGCAGAAATAAAAATGATTTGAAACAAAACACAAAGTGCAACTCTGCCTTCTCTCTACTGTTACTTGTCATTAAATTAGCTGCCTTTCTTCCCCAAAAGTCTTATTTTTTCAGTGACTTTCATTCTTTATTTTTTGGTAATACAACTTTAAAAAAAAATCCAAAACCACTCTTTTTTTTTTGTCTTTGAAGTGTTAAACTTCTTCCTTTGCAGAAGAAACAAAGGAAGTGAAACAAAAACAAAGTGCAACTCTGCCTTCTCTCTACTGCTACTTGTCATTAAACCAGCCACCTCTTTTCCTCAAAAGTCTTATTTTTTCAGTGATTTTGACCTTCCATTTTCTTGTAAGACAACTTTATTTATTTATTTATTTTCAGGAGCAGTTTTAATGATAACTCAGGCAAATTTTTTTTGAGAAAAAAATTACATGTTTATTTTCAATAACCTCTTAATGGGATTTCATATTTTCTTTTTAAAAATACTAACCATTTATTTAGTTTTAGTTTTCAACATTTGCTTCCACAAGATTTTGAGTTCCAAATTTTCTCCCCATTTCACACCTCCCCCCACCCCAAGACTGTGTGCATTCTGAATATCCCTTCCCCTAGTCTACCCTCCTTTCTATCATACCCTCCCCCTTCTCTTATCCCCTTCCCCTTCTATTTTCCTGTAGGGCAGGATAGATTTCTATACCCCATTGCCTGTATAGCTTATTTCCCAGTTGCACATGAAAACAATTTTTAACATTTGTTTTTGAAATTTGGATTCCAAATTTTCTCCCTTCCTTCCTCTCCACCCACCCTCATTGAGAAGGCAAGCATCTTAATACAGGTTATATATGTGTAATCATGTAAAACACTTCCATAATAGACATGCCATGAAAAACTAACTCTATTTCCCTTTATCTTATCCCCCCCCATTTATTCTATTCTCTCTTTTAACCTTGTCCCTCCTCAGAAGTGTTTGCTTCTGATTACCCCCACCCCCAATCTGCCCTCCTTTCTATCATTCCCCCTTCTTATTCCCTTCCCCCCTATTTTCCTGTAGGGTAAGATAGATTTCAATACCCGATTGAGTGTGTGTGTTATTCCCTCCTTAAGCCAAATCCAATGAGAATAAGATTTACTCATTCCCTCTCATCTTCCCCCATTTCCCCTCCACTTGTCTGTTTTATGTGAGATAATTTACCCCATTCTACCTCTCCCTTTCTCCTTCTCCCAGTATAATCCTCTCTCACCCCTTAATTTTATTCTCCAGATATCACCCCTTCATCTTCAACTCACCCTCTGCCATCTATCTATCTATCTATCTATCTATCTACCTATACATATAATTTTTTTTCTTACCCTAATAGGTCTCATGAGTTACAAATATCATCTTTCCATGTAGGAATGTAAACAGTTCAACTTTAATAAGTCCCTTATGATTTCTCTTTCCTGTTTACCTTTTCATGCTTCTCTTGAGTCTTGTATTTGAAAGTCAAATATTCTATTCAGCTCTGGTCATTTCATCAACAATGCTTGAAAGTCCTCTGTTTCACTGAGTGTCCATTTTTCCCTCTGAAGGATTATATTCTGTTTTGCTGGGTAGGTGATTCTTGGTTGTAATCATATCTCCTTTGCCCTCCAGAATATCATATTCCAAGCCCTCTGATCCCTTAATGTAGAAGCTGCTAAACCTTGTGTTATCCTGATTGTGTTTCCACAATACTTGAATTGTTTCTTTCTGGCTGTTTGCAATATTTTCTCCTTGACCTGGGAACTTTGGAATTTGGCTATAATATTCCTAGGAGTTTTCCTTTGGAAATGTCTTTCAGGAGCTGATCAGTGGATTTTTTCAATTTCTATTTTACCCTCTGGTTCTAGAATATCAGGGCAGTTTTCCTTGAGAATTTCTTGAAAGATGATGTCTAGGTTCTTTTTTTGATCATGGCTTTCAGGTAGTCTAATCATTTTTAAATGATTTTTCCTGGATCTGTTTTCCAGATCAGTTGTTTTTCCAACAAGATATGTCATATTGTCTTCTATTTTTTCAGTCTTTTGGTTTTGTTTTACAATTTCTTGATTTCTCATAAAGTCATTAGCTTCCATTTGCTCCAATCTAATTTTTTTTTTTGGCTAGTCAATGGGGTTAAGTGATTTGCCCAGGGTCACACAACTCCTAAGTGTCAAGTGTCTGAGGCCATATTTGAACTCAGGTCCTCCTCACTCCAGGGCTGGTGCTCTATCCACTGCTCCACCTAGCTGTCCCACTACATTCAAATTTTTAAGGAAATATTTTCTTCAGTGAACTTTTGGAGTTTCTTTTCATTTGGCCAATTCTGCTTTTTCTTCTTCTTTTTGGCTTTTTGGATCTCTTTTGCCATTTGGGTTAGGCTATTTTTTAAGGTGTTATTTTCTTCAGTAATTTTTTTGGATCTCCTTTAGCAAACTGTTGACTTGTTTTTCATGATTTTCTTGCATCACTCTCATTTCTCTTCCCAGTTTTTCCTCTACTTCTCTTACTTGCTTCTCAAAATCTTTTTTGAGCTCTTCCATGGCCTGGGACTGGTTCATATTTTTCTTGGAGGCTTTGGATGTAGGAGCTTTGACTTTGTTGTCTTCTTCTGGTGGTATGTTTTGATCTTCTTTGTCATCAAAGTAAGATTCTAAGGTGTGACTTCTTTTTTTACACTGTTTACTCATGTTCCCAGTCAATTGCTTGAGTTTTAAACTCTTTGTTAAGGTAGGGATCTGCTTCCAGTGTGGAGAATGTACTATCCCAAGCTTTGGGGGTTTTGTGCAGCTGTTTTCAGAAATACATCTAGGGACCTGTAAATTTTCAATTCTTTCAAAGTGGTACAATCAAGGGTGAGGTGTTTACTCCACTCTTGGCCTGTGTTCTGGTCTATGAGTGACCACAAGCAGTCTTTTCTGCCTTGAAACTGTGAGGAGGGTTTCCTCTCCATGGCCACTACAAGCTTCACCATGCCAGCACTCCTCTTCACCCCAAGATCGCCACCCAGAGCTGTGACCCAGATCCAAGCACAGGCAAAGCAAGAGAATTCTGCCTCAGCACCAGTAAAAAGATCCTTGAAATCCCCCTCTGATCAGCTGCTTGATCCCCCCACCACCTGTGGGTCAAGAGCTCTAGAAGCAGCTACCACCTGGGGCTGGGACCAAGTTTCTCTCTCACCACTGTCTGACAGACCTTTCCTACTGACCTTTCTAAGATGTCTCTGGTGTTTGTGGGTTGAGAAGTCTGGAAACTGCCACAGCTCCCCTTGATTCAATTCCCTGAGGACTGCTCCAGGTTTGCTGAGGTCTGTTCTTTGCCTTTGTGGCCCACACTGAATTGCATTCCTCTCCCAGACTGGTGCAATAGACCTTTCTGATCAACCATCCAGGTTGTCTTGGGCTGGAAATTTGTTTCACTCTGTCTTTTTGTGGGCTCTGCTGCTCTAGAATTTGTTTAGAGCCATTGTTACAGGTATTTGGAGGGGTTTGGGGGAGAGCTCAAGCAAGTCACTGCTTTTACTCTGCCATCTTGGCTGCACCTCTCATGATACAACTTTTAAAAAAATCCAAAGCCAGACTTTTTTTGTCCTTAGCTCTCTTTCTTTAAAAAAATTTTTAGGCAGTTGAGGTTAAGCAACTTGCCCAAGGTCACACAGCTAATAAATGTCAAGTGTTTGGTCTGAGGCCAGATTTGAACTCAGGTACTCCTGACTCCAGGGCTGGTGCTCTATCCACCGTGTCACCTAGCTGCCCCCATTCTTGGCTCTCTTGCTAAACTCAAATCACTCTGTGCTTTACCATTCCTGACCTTGGCCTTGTTTCCAACTTTTCTTGATTAAAAAAAAAAATCTTGTTTGGTGGGTTCCTTGTGCATACACTTTGGCCCCTTGAGACAAATCCCATTTTTCCTCTTTTTTGTATTGTTTCCTCAGAATTTCCCTCCTGAGCAGCTCCCATTTTTGTTGGGTCCCTTTGAATGTGGGGTGCAAGCTTGGTGTCCATGGTGTGTCTCAATCAGGGTTAGGGTCAGGGTTTCCCTCTTGTCTAGGTGGCATCAGCCTCTCCCTGGAAACTCCTACTCTGCCGGTCCCAGTCATGATGCATCTAGTAGGTAGGGCTTAGAGTTGGTTGCCTTCTCCTATGTCACCACACCTCAGATCTCTGTGACTGGAGCGCATCACTATCACGTGTTCTCCCTTTCTATGACAAGTCTCCCTTGAAAAAGTTCTTTTTGGTATCATTTGCTTCTACCTCACCTATATTTCCCAACATAGCTCTCCCTTTCCCTATCCCCATAGAGCCGTTCCTTCTAACAAAGAAGAAAAGAGAGAAAACAGATCAGCCAAAGTAACCAACAAACCAAAAAGTTCTGACATATGCCATGTGCCACACACATAGTCCCCCACCTCTACAAAAAAGGTGGCAAAGTGGCCTCTCCCCTCTGTGCCTTGGAAGCAAGTTTGTCCCTATAATTTCAGAGAACTCACTGTCAATTGTTTTGTTGTTCTTTCCACTTACTTTGTTGTGACCCTTGTGTCTATTATTTTCTAGCTTT